ATGTTGTCATATGTTGTCATAGATATGTTGCTAGATCCTTGTCCATGCTGCACTTGGATGTCTTCCTACAAGGGAGGCTGCTCTCCAAACATTTGCAGAGTAGTGTGCATCTGGTCTTTGCACATGAGCATTTAAGTAGCTGAAGGATTGATTCATGAGGGCAAGGTATTTGACACCTGGCTGGTGTGATCAGTTCATCTTCCAAGACCCATCCATGCCCAATAGGGGAGGGTAGTTTTGGATGCACTCGCTCATCCGACAGCCATTCCATTGCTTGATAATCCACCCTCTTGATAGCAAATGCAAGAGGGCATTGATAAATGCACAGCTTGTTGGTGGCAATTTTTCTTTGTTTGTCTGCTTCTTGGAAAATATTCACTGATTATAGCTCTGCAAGTGTCACAACGTTGGTCTTCAGACGGTGAACGTTGCAGATAAATGCCTTGAGTGCATTTACGAACTCATCAGTGACTGCTTCAGCTGCCCTTGCTCTGAAAGTGCTTGGAAGAGTCTTCAGAGGCTGAATCAAATGCCTTCTGGTAAGATAATTTGGTCTTTCCAACCAACCTGCCAGAAAGGTAACATCCTGAAAGGGCATGGAAACCTAGCAGTGTGTCAGCTTTTAATTGCCTAAGTGATATAGGAAAACATCTTTGAGGGGCTATACAGTGATACAAAACCAGAATCTTGTGGAAGTTTTGGGTAGAGTCTTACAAAGTGCACTGGAACATCTGTGTCTTGTGCAAACATCCAGAGTTTAGTAGCACCTCTCTCTCTGGCTCTGATCGCAGGCAAGATCATTTTAGTGCCAACCTCCTCATGGGAATGAAGAAGAAGAAATTCCGCTGAACAGTGCAGGGCAGCAGCTTCATTATGCCATGTAATGGTGAAACTCTAAGCAATTCTTCACAATCGGGAGCATTTTTCCTGCCAGATGTGTGCTTAACTCATCCTTCATGCGAGTACGGGACAGTAGCTTCTCCACTGTGACACTGGAGATGTTGGTGGAGTCAAACATTTTATATTGCCCAGGTGTAATATCATGGAGTCTCTTCTTTCTGGTAATATTTTTTTAATTGATTCCTCTGCATACATGTCAAATAAGAGGTAGACATCATCATAGGTCCAGTATTTTCTCAGTAGCCTCATAATGAAGTGATCAGCCAATTCTCAGCAAGTGTTAACAGTTTCTGGTTTGTTGAGAGCTTCTACCTCAGCTGTGTCATCTAGACTGCTACACTGAAAGGCCTCTGCTGGCCTAAAGTACTGGTCATGTTGTCGATAGATGCTGGTTTAGGAAGACGATGCAAGAAGTGCATGTTTGCTGTTCACCTAGCAAACATGCATTGAATTTCTGTCGCATTCAAACGTCAATTTGGTACCATTTTACCAAGTACAATTTGGTACTTGACCTATGTTAGACTTTGGGAAACATCACAATGAGATCTTGACATGACCAGGAGACGAGCAAACAATGACCTGTCTGCGGTCAGCTCTGTCATAGTCCCTGTCACCATCATTCTGAATGTCGTCTTTGCATTAGAACACAGCTTTAGGCTGTTCTTCTTGATTCTGTAGATTTTTATGAATCAAATGACACCTCCCTTACCTTTCTGTCATTAACTTGCCCACGGAATTACATGTGCTCCCAGACTAAACAGCTGTCTTTGGGTTTAAAGCACAGTTGCCAACTTTCATGAGGTAAATAAGCACTCCGACTTTCAAAGTAAGCCAAATATCATGCTAATCCCATTTCAAAACAAGCCAACCCCTAAGAATCCCAAAACTCTGTGAATAGATTCCCTCCTCCGGTGTGCAGTCTGGCACTATGGTGGGCCTGCTGTGCACCCCTGACTCTCTTCCCCCTTATCCCTGCTTGCCCCCCCTTTCCCTTGCTTGCCGGGAGCTGATCAAAAAAAAAAAAAAAAAAAAAGAAGCAACAAGCTACAACAAGCAGCAAGTTACAAGCCAAACAAGCTACAAGTCAAAAACTAGCCAACAAGCAACTCACAAGCCAATTAAGCCAAAAACAAGCCCAATTTCTGCATTTTTTCCCCCGGGTTTGGCATGTCTGGTTGAAAGCTCAAATTTTTACTTCAAATTCTCTCTCTCCCTCTCTCCTCAGAAATGACCAGAGAGCAGTAGACCTCAAAAACCATCTTGGTGAAAACTTTGTCAAAACAGATAATCTCTTCAAAATGTTCCGGCTTTGTCAAAACCAGATATTTTGATTAAATTTTATGGCATCAGAAGTGTTCCAACTAGCTTCCTTAGTCTACTTTTCATTCAGTCTGTTCTAAGGCAAAATCTTGGCAGCATATGGAAGTGTGCCTGGATAAAACTGAGCTAAGGATCTCCGTGGATGTGGGTCATACTGTCCTGAATCTATATCTATGCATATATATATATGCCCACCAGTACCACAGTATCTGAGCACTTTGCACTCTTAACTGTATTGATCCAACCAACACTCCTGTGAGGAAAGACAGTGCTAATATCCCCATTTTACAGCTGGGAACTGAGGCACAGAGAGATTAAGTGACTTGCCCAAGGTCACATAGGAAGTCTGTGACAGAGCAGGGTCTTGAATGCAGGTCTCCCAAGTCCCAGGCTAGCACCATTGGACCATCATTCCTCTCTGCTACTGTTTGAAAAACACAAAGGAGATGCATTTTGCAGTGGAAGTATGAAAAATTTGTAAATTAAGCCTACACATGTAAATTACTAGTGTTCAGTGTCATAAATTCAGTAGAAACTAGCCTGAATTAAAGCATTCAGGGAGGGGAAGTAGGGGTCTTTGCCTCTGGATTCAGATTCATCTCTTAACATCTGTACTCTGTTTTTTGAGTTGCAGATTGGGCAGATTATACAGGAGTAACCCTAGGTACAGTGACAGGGAAGAACTCGGTATTGGGAAAGGCCAGATTGTTATAATATAATCCAGAGGTAATAAATATATAATTTACAGAGCTAGGGCACTGCTCCTCTTAAAGTCCATGAGAGTTCTGAAAATGACTTTAAAGGTAAAGTAAAAAGCACACTTCAAAAGTTGGTAGGAGTGAGGGTGGATACTTTTATTTTACATTTACATTTGGCTGCTGGCAACACTGCAGCATAACCTTAATGGTAAGTTCCTGTTGCTATGCCCTCTTTTCCTGCTGCCCCCTCCTCCTTAACATATAACTGGAGTGAGTGACTTGCTACCCATATCTACTGACGGCAAAGGGCCTGATTCCTCTCATACCTTTGTAAATTGGGGAGTAATTCCATGGAAATCAACAGAATTGCATATGCTTATGTGTGAGGAAAATCCCAGCCCGCCTCAGCCCAGCTCCTCCTACTTGCCTCCTACACCCATTTCTGCCCAGTGCTTAATGTCTGATATGTAGAGCAGGACCGAGTTTGGCCTGTTATGTACTGTATTTGATTATTTTTTCTTTAATGCCACCATTTAAGGCTGCATGTAGTGTTGACGTAGCTGTGTTGGCCCCAGGATATTAGACACCCACCTTGTCTCATGATTAAGGCTATCCACATGAAATTGCCTGGGCTTCTGTTGCATGGGGAAGAGCCAGTGCGTTGCAATGGAGATTCATTTCCTTCTGCTGTGGCAAATGCAGCACAACAATTTATTCGAGCAGTTGTAATGGGATAGTATTGACTGAAGTTGTTCTGCCATTTTCAGTAGCACTAAATCCTGAAGCAAATGCAATAAACTAGTTGTTGTTTAAAGGAGTAATGCCTGCATTTAACATGCTGAAAAATGTCTCTTTGTCGAGCATTGAAAAAAATGTTTAATAGGGTGCAGTCAGGAATGAGTCTGAAGGCAAAAGCTATATTATCTTGCACTGAAGCTAAACATAACTATCACTTGTTCCTCTAGCCCAGAGGTTCTCAAACTGGGGGTTGGGTCCCCTCAGGGGGTTGCGAGGCTATTACATTGCGAGCTGTCACCCTCCACCCCAAGCCCTGCTTTGCCTCCAGCATTTATAATGGTGTTAAATATGTAAAAAAGTGTTTTTAATTTATAAGGGGGGGGGAAACACTCAGAGGCTTGCTATGTGAAAGGGGTCACCAGTACAAAAGTCTGAGAACTACTGCTCTAGCCTGTTGTGATGTGTACAATTCTTTCACTGAAGATCACAAGAGTCTTCAGGGCTTTCAAACACAAGGCCATTCTTCATCTAAAAATCTTTGGAACAGAAAGATGTGACTAGTTCTAATTGCCATTTTCTAGGTATTTTGTATTCAAGATGTTACAATTTGCAGTATGGTACATCTCCAACATACTTCACTTTATTGATCACTATCTCTCACAAGCCAACTGATTCGTATTAATGCTAACACTGAGTGTTCTTAAAAAGGAAATCTTCAGAACAGTCATAATGAATTAATCTTATAAACTATTGATTGCACTTCAATCCTTTAACTGTCCTGTTTGAGCCTGTACTTGGCACATGAAGTGGACTCTATCCTGCCTCAGATAAGCACTCTCAGCTTCTATGAGAGTTGTACAGTTGCAATGGAGGGCAGAATTCAGCCCCCTGAATTTCTATTGAAAGCAGTGGGAATTACAAATGTATTCATACAGTGCCTAGCACAATGGTGTCCTGGTCCATAATAAATAAGGGCTTCAGGATCAGGACCTATACATTTAACCCTTTGCCCATTTGTATCCCTTGGCATTCTCTCAGTTTGTCAATGAGCTTATGATTTATTTAATGGTGAGATTTTGGGTAATCACTTAAATTCCATGGTAGATTATATGCCAAGTATTTTAGTTCTGATTCTTCATCAGCCTAGTTAAAGAACAGATTAGTGAGGTTTTTACTTGATAACACAATACGGATCAAACCCTCTGACAATAGTATGAAGAGTGATATGATAGATCTGTAGAATATAACCAGGCTAACTGATGTAGGAGTCATCCTAGCATTCCTATATAGTTGTCAAAAGAAATCCCAGTTCTTACATTTGCTTTTCCTGTATTTTCCTTACAGCTGAACGAGATATCAGTATCTACTGTGGAGTACAGGCAATTACTATGAAGATTAATTTTTGCACAGTTCTTTTTTCTGGTTATTCTGAGACAGATTTGGCCCTGAATGGGAAACATGGGGACGCTCACTGCAAGGGGTTTATAAATAACAACACCTTTCCAGCAGTGGTCATCTTCATCATCAATCTCAGCACTTTGGAGTCCTGTGGAAGCACTCTTGTGGTAAGGCAAGATCACTGTCAGATTGTATAATAGGTAGTAGTGCCTGGAATAGAGTGTGGGGGGTGCTCGAGCATTGTATCCTATACAAAAACCTCTGAAACAGTCTTATATACTTAGTAAAAATTTGCTTTTTGAAAGAAATGAATAGCTCATCAATTTGAGTGCCAATAAGAAGCCAAGGACTAGGATATAGTGGTAGACAACAACTTTATTCTTATAGAGCTAGTTTGGAATTTTCCTTCAAAAGGATTTTTCACTGGAAAATGCAGTTTCTGCAAAATCAAAACTTTCTGCAGGAATAGTTCAATTTTGTGGAAGTTTTCCAAATTTCCATCTGGAAAAATGAAACAAATATTTTATTTGGGGTTGATTTTTCATGGGAGTTGTAGTTCAAGCTCCCTGACTGAACTAAATTTCCCATGGTGCAACACAGTCTGCCCTCTGACTGAGTGGCATGATGCATCATGGAAGTAATGTGTCTGCAGGCTCATCATGGGAGATGTAATCTGGCCAGGAATCCTGGCTCCTAGTGGAGAATGGAGACATCAGGTATCTGAACTACAGCTCCCATGAGGCAATGCACCACCATAGGGAAATGCTGTATAATACTGAATTGACCTGAAACAAATGCTTTGCCATTTCTGAATCAAATATTTTTAGAACGTCTCAGTTTCAATATTTGAATTTTTCATCCGATTTCAGGACAAAAATAAACATGGAAACATCGGAATTTCCCACAGGAAGGAAATTCAGATTCTCACTCAGCTCTAATTCTTATTTAATATACTGCAAGTGTATGTGCCACAACTGCTGCTGGATGGTGTAAGACCTGCTCAAATGTCTAATTTATGTTGTGCTGTAGTGGTTGGTCAGCAGAAGGATGGAAGCCTTAATAGTGTTAACAACTAGTTGAGATTCTCTTTTAGCGGAAGAGGTAAATACTTGTGTTTCTAGAGCCAATCATCTTAGACTTGATATGCTATGCAGCATAAATGACAGCTGTGATATCTGGCTGTGTGCAGACAGCTACAGATGAGTTATACTCAGGTTGTCACTTAAGGCAAGATTCTGGTATCTTTTTTGCAGAGCTGTAATTTAATTAACTTTAATGGAGTTACTCCTGATTTATACCAGCGTGAATGAGAGCAGAATTAGGCTCTCCGTCTTCTAAATTGTCGTATCCAACAATGCCTCAATCTGTGGGGCAAGCCCAGATTTTAGACTTGAATTTCCTTCTACCCCTTAAGAATTGTTGTTCAACTTTTCGCTATAGGTTGGATCGCTGCAGTATGCTTTCAGATGTAAGGTGGGGATTTCCGACACACACAGGGATGGTCTGGGTCACTGAAGCCTCCAAAATCTGCATTAAGTAATTTACAAGAATAACAACTTACAATATTTTGCAAGATTGCCATTTATAGCCAGAGTTGATAATGACACTTCAACTTAAGTACTCCTAGCATTTTTTGTTATATGTTCCTGTTTTCAGTTGCTTATAACTTTGCCAAAGTGTTCAGACTGAAACTTTCTATGTGCATTCTCTGTCTCAAGCTGAATTTTCTTTTTAAAGGTTCAGCAAAAATAGTTCAGTTTTTTCCAAGGGTAAGGTTAGGAAAAATGGGTAGTGTTGCCAATGCTACTCCCCACCCCAAACTGTGTGGCTTTCTTATGTTTTAAGAAGAGCTCTACCACCTCCATAGTTTGGAGCAAGGCCTTGAAATTTGGCCGACAGCTCTAAGGTCAGAAAGATGTCTTTTGCTGTTCCCATGAAAATTACCCAGATTGGGCAAAATTATAAGCCTCTGAAAATTGCCATTTTGACATGTTCATAGAGCTTGTTAGAAATTTGCTGTTAAAATCTTTGAACATTCTGCCTGCTCTGTGCAGGCTACCATTCTCTTTGGAGCTCCCTATATAGCAAATTCTCTGAATATGCACTCATGCCCCGCAGGGCTCCCTATGTGTATCCAGACAGTGCAAAGATAAAGCAACAGCTTGCAGGGAAACAATAGCATCCCTTATGGTTTAGGTATGCTGGGCTGAGAGTCAAGAGGAGACCATGAATACTGATCTCAGCTGTTCCATTCACAGGTGTTAATACCCCCCACGTTTCAGAGCCCTTATTGCTAAGCAAGACTAATACCGCTCTGCTTCATGAGGGAGGCAGGCATCCTTCATTTTACAAATGGTGTAACTGAGAGGCTGTACTTCTGGAAAGGCTGGGACTAGAACAGAGAACTCTAACGTAGCAGACTCCATTCATATCCTCTTAACCACTCCAGCTTTCAGAATTAACGTGCCACATTTTTGTGCTAGGCTGTACTGTTTGTGATGTCTAGACTTCTCTCTCCTCCAGAGCCAGGAATGTGGATTCCTAACATTTTTCTGCTGTCTAGCAAATGGCTATGTACACCAATGGCAAAATGTACGGGGAATAACAGCCTACTATTGCAACCAGGTTTTCCATTAGTTCAAGAAATCAAGTTGTGCTATGAATCTAAAGGTCCTGGGTTCAAACCCTGATGAACTACCCAGGTGTGCCGAGGGCAGCGTGGTTTGATGAATTCCTGGTTTTTCCCCCAGTTTTTATTTTTTAAAAATATAGGAGATTACATACAAAAACTACATCAAAACAATGCAAAATCAAGCTACAATTAGGAAACGCCAGAGTTAATCTCCTGCAAACTCAATGTGACCCTGTTGTGTACATGCATTATAAGATACTCTTAATTACATATTCAGTTCTTAATTACTATTTTCTCCACATGACCATTAATTCACATAGTACATGGGATATATGGTGAATGAATCAGTGGGTTGCAGGAAGAGGAAGAATGTTCACTTGTGTTTTGAAGGTGTTGGATGGGGACCCAAGAGAGCTGGGTATTATTTCTGTGTCAACTACATACTTATGTGATGTTGAGCAAATCAGTCATAATTCAGACATGCAATGGGGCTGAATTAAGGTTTCACAGGCAACTTTAATTGTGGCATTGTCTAAATATTGAGTGCTTGGATTTTCAGCATTGGCATTCTTTTAACTTAGTTTTTGTGTGAGTAATTTATCATACATAGATATGCATCTCCATACAGACAGATACAAGCATTGACCAGAAATTCAATTGTTTGACTTGAATTGCTTTAGTGTCTCATTAATATCACTTTAAAAATACTATAACTCTCCCATTTCCATCATCTATTATGTGATTTGGAAACCTTCACAAACAAACATACCAGTAGTGGCCACGCATCACTTCAGTGAGTGGGATTCTGTGTAAAATGCTTCTTCAGTCCCCTCCTCACCCAGCAATCCATGGGAATTCATCAGGAATGTTCAGAGAAAATGCCCACCTGAAAAATTATTCACGGGACCTCAGGACATTCCAGATCTGTGTTTAGGCTCTACGGCCATATTTTGCATTCAGTCAGACCCCCGTAATCCCAATTGACTACTGGCTGTGCAGGTGAAATAGAAAACAGAATCTGATTTAGTAAGCCCAATTCGTCTCTGATGTACTGAATGAAATTACACCAAGGATGAATTGGACTCGAAGTGTCAGAATTTTTCAATGTGTTTGTATTTCTCTCTCTCTCTCTCTCTCTCTCTCTCTATTTTTTAATGTGCTTAACCTTGTGGTAATGTCTGTTTTCGTACCTTCCTCAATAGGTATCCTCAGGTCCAGGCATCAATGCATATGGGAATGTATCAGTGGTACAGATAGGTAACGTTTCAGGCTACATAGATACGCCAGATCCACCAACAATCATCAGCTACTTACCAGGGCTTCTGTACAAATTTAGCTGTAGCTATCCATTGGAATACTTGGTCAACAATACACAATTGGCTTCGTAAGTATGCTTTTCATTCATTCATATATATTTATATGTATAAGGGTGAGGGTGTCTGTCTACATGCATCTGCACAACCCAACATTTATCTCCATAAAAATTTGTGGTCTTGTACTGATGGTGAAAAAAATAAAACCAAGATTGTGGGAAGAAGTGGCAGGGAGAAAGGGGAGACTGAAGAAAGAAGAAAAGTTTACTAGGGGATCTATATAATACAATGATTTACCAAAACTACTGTAGTTTGTTGCCTGACTAGTGTAAAAATTTGCTTTCTAAATGCATGTGGTTTTATGACAAAATAGTAGCTGCATACACATTTTAAATTTCCCATGCAATATAATATTTTTGTGTAGGGTAATCAATGAATGTGTAGTGCAAGGAAACACATTTTCCAGGAGCCGACACACTATATCATGGAGAACTGGTTCTTTTATGCCATTTTGCCTTTCTGCTAATTATTTGCCTGATTCATGTTTTTAATAGCCTCCATTACTTCCAGTATAGTTAAGGTCCTGTCATGGTCTCCGCTATAAATTCCTATTTTCAGAGATTTCTAACACAAACCTTAAAAAAATCACTCCTTATGATGTATCTCAAGAACTGATTTTGAGTAAAGAAGCACTGAAATATGAAAATGCAAACAAACAAACAAAACCCTTAAACAGTTTCTGGTTTCTAAATCTGTTTTAGGTCATCAGCTGCTATTTCTGTAAGAGAGAACAATGGGACATTTATCAGCACTCTGAGTTTGCTGCTTTACAATGTAAGTATAAAATTAGTAAACAAATTATATGTAATATTCTCTGAATTACATGGCTGCAGCTCTCTTTGACAGAGCAGAATTAGGCTCCTTATGTGTTCATTATGTTCTATTTTCCCCGGAAGGGAAGCAGGCCTTTCAGACCGTTGTCATTCATCTAATTGTTACCTTGTGCTTGTCCTTTTTTTTAATTTATTTTTTTTAAATGCACCTGTTGTCTCTCTTCTTAGTCTCTGCCCTGAATGACCTATCATCTCTCCTTTTATTCTGCACTTGTACAGCACCTAGCACAATGGGATCCCGATCAACAATTAGGGCTTCCAGACCCTTGGGCAGTACAAATTATAATAAGTGATGCACTAGAATTCATACATATTGCATATTGTACCTGCATATTATATTTATTCTAAATATGATCTTATAACAATATTGATATGTTAAATTTCTCACAAACTTATGTAGAGTCCAAGCCTTGTTCAAGTATGTTGACCATTTTAAATAGGAGTGAAGTTTGCAGGATTTACCCCCAATCTATACATCCATACAGATGCTTATTGCATGTACTTTGGAGACTTCATGGGTTAATATTTTTAATAACAGCATTTGGCTGCTGACACTTCTCTCATACTTTTTCAGAAATTGGGTTTGAATACACATCACTGTGTAAACTTTTATTATGTAAATCTGGACAACGACAGTAAAACGTAAAAAATGTGCAGACGTCTATTTATAACAGCTACATTCATTTCTGAAATAATTTTTGTTGATTAAAATTTTTATTCATACATTTTAAATACCTGATTTAAATATCAATTTTTCAATCTATCAAGCAACGTTTTTGTAAATTATGAATCTGATTTTTTTGGCTTTATTATTCATGCCACCGGGATGCTGAGTTATAATTCATGCAACTGATTTAAAAGTCAATGCTTTTTTCTTGGAATATAATGAGCTATAAATATTGTAACAGGGCATTTTCCAAAGGCATTTTTTTTAAAATTCACGTTTGTAAGTTTGTCATTTGGTAGAGCAGAGTTCTTAAAAACAGATTAAAATGAAGATTATATTTCTCCCATTTTTAAATAAATATGTAGTAAAAAGGAGAGAGAGCCAAATTCCTCAAAACTACAGGAATTGTATAGTGGATAGGAAGAGCCATTCACCGTTTCTGCAGTGAGAGAAGAATAAAATTAATATCATGCCGGAATATGCCCTTGAATGAAGTGCCCAAGTTTAAAGGGCCTGATCCTGCCCAACTGTAGTCAGTAAGGTCAGATCCAAGGTATTCAAGTGATTAAGAATGAAGTCATTGGTGTTTGACTCTGAGTTTTGATCTTGTGAGATGCTCCTAGAAGAAATACTGCAATTCACAGAAGCATGAAAAAGCAACCAAACACAAAGTATTAAGATAATCTTAGTAATTGTAACTATTTTTAGGAACTTGTACATAGATGAGCTATACAGTATATTTTGCTCCTGATATTAAAGACCAACATTTACAAATGCAGACCCCAAAAATAGACATTTAAAGCCATATTTAAGTACATAAGAGTCCTGCTTGTCAAAGGTGTTGTGCATTTGAGGCTGTGAAAATCAAATCACTTTTTTAGGTGCCCAGAAGGATTTAGGTGCCTAAGTTCAGACACCTATGTTTGAACACTTTAGACAGGCTGTTTGTTTTTTGTCACTTATTTCTCTGATGTTTAAAATTGTTATCCTTAATTCCTCCCCTCTCTCCCCCCTGACTTGTTGATGTTTTCATTTGTTCTGTTGTGCTACTTCGTGCCTTTGCCGTGTGTGAATCCATCTGCAAAATTTATGAACGCAAGCACAAAACTAACCATTATGGAAAAGATGTAAAGAGACTAAGAGGGATTAAGGCTTGGATTTTCAAAGGAGCCTAAGTGATTTAGATACCCGTGTATAAATCCTTGGGGTGACTGCAGCATGTGTAGCTCAGATACTGAGTTAGCTTTGCTCTAATTAGTTTGCTAAAAATAGCACTGTTGTCATGGCAGCACAGGCCGTGCCACAGGCTAGCTGCCCACGTACAATCCCTTCTTCGTCCCTGGGTAAAAACTCAGGCAGCTAGCCCATGCCATGGTCTGTGCTGCTGCAGATACATTTAACAAGATAGCTTGATCAAATTTAGCTACACATGTTGCAGTCGCCCCTCACAGTTGCAGTACAAAACCTGTCTTTAGACTCCTTTGAAATTCTCAGCCTAAACCAATAGCGATCTGTAGAAATTACTCCAAAAATCTGTAGGACGTAATAAGAGTGAGATCTTTTCTACAGATTCTCTTAGCCAACATACAAATTTAACAGAGAAGTACACCCCACTATCAAATTCTACCGCTTAGCTTAGAAGTTCTGTAGCCAGTTTTCTCTCATTCTCTTTCATATTCGAAAGGACACTTCCATAGGAGTGAAGTACGTAGAAAGTTTACAAATTATGTTTTTCATTCCTTTAGAAAAATCACATGCTTTGCGCATTTAATTTAATATTTTCCAAACTTTCTGGTGTCTGCTACACCGTTCTGGTTTTATTGCCACACAGCTTGTGCAAGGCAGGACTTTTTGAAAATGTGGACTGAGTCTTGGGTACCCTCATCTCCCACTAGAGGCCTTTCTCCCATATGCTGAACCTCCCCCACCACTCCCGTCTTTCTACTGCTCATCTGCAATATATTAAATGATGTCTGGTCCTCTCCCCCCCCCCCAAAGTGGGTCTTGTATTGCTGAATTATGTCTGTGTGAACAAGTTCCTACTTCAGTTCCTGGAAACCTTGGCTGGTAGGCCCTCTTTGTGAATTTAGCAGCATACACAGAGAACCGGGGTACATCCACCAAGTGTCTTTGATTGTTTATACTCCAGGTACATCACAACATAGCAGGAGATATGCTCCCTTGCTGCTCCCTGGCTCAGCTATTTACACAGTTTGATATCTTCTCAGGAGTACCCAGTTGGTGAGCTAATTACCTCATTAGCTCATCAGGTTCTGTACAGGTGCAAGTTTCTACCCTTCCAAGTCCAAACTACCGAAGTCCCTTTCACTCTACCTATACCCGGTGCCATGGGTATTCTAAGTGACCAGGGTGCTGGCTTCCAAAGAGCTCAGTTTATAACTGCTAACAGCACCCTGTCACAGTCTGACACTCCATATTCATTTTACAACATTGTACAAGCTGTGATTTTTCTCTCTCTCTATACACACACTTACACTAGTTTGGTAATGGAGCTTTTGAAAGGAGGTAATTTTTTAAATACAATCTTTGTTTGTTACCTAACACTTTTAACATGTCATTTCCCACTAAAGCTGCATTGTGGAGAGCAAAACATCTGTTCTAATTGTCTGAGGGCAAACCTTGAACTTTGCGAAACTTGATAGCACTGCTGTTTCCGCTAAGCCAACTGACCAAAAAAGGTTCTGTGTTGCAAGGTGTTGGTATTGCCATTGTGTTACAGCAACTGTGTGTGTGTTTTTCCAGGACTCAACCTACAGCCAGCTGCTGGTTATCCCCAGTATAGGTTTACCTTTGAAAACAAAAATATATGCAGCAGTGCGAGCAACCAACCTAGATGGCAGGTACAGTAAAAGATATTGTTTCTTCCCTTTCTAATTTTTGCAGCTCTTGAGCAGCATCAATCACCGTGTAAATATATAATTATATATGGCTTTTTTTTTTCTGACCGTCTTTTATGGGGCTTGGTAGAATTTGATTTTTTTTTAAATAATTTTGATGGATAACTAATTATTTTCAAGCATTGCTTTTTATTAATTTCAATTTTTACAGGTGTGGAAAACTATGGGAGTGTTCAACCATAGGAGAATCAATTATGTAATAACAGTACACATTGAGATTCAAAAAGTTAAATCTTTATAACTGTTAAAATACAAACTGTGAACATTGCGTCAAAATATACAAAGTAAATATCCTTACGTTGAACTCTAATAAGTTCTGCCATTTTCTTACCTTTTCTACCTGTATATTTTGAGTATTATCGATGGAAATATTTTTTTTGTAGGTTTGTGTCTGTAAGGTGAAATCCATGTTTACTGATAAAAATCTAATACTTCCAAGCCTATTTACATGTAATGAAATGACTAATCTGTGTGAATGACTTCCCTCTGTTGGACGGAATCAGATCTGTTTTGCTATGTGTCACAGGCCCTTTATTGGTAATCATCAACAAAGATTCTCCTTGAGCTCAAGGGAGCTTTTGTAAGAGGAGGAAAGAAAGGAAACAAAAGTGTAGGAATAAATGGTCAGTTTCCATAATGGAGAGAGGTAAATAGTGGTGTCCCCCAGGGGTCTGTTCTGGGACCAGTCCTGTTCAACATATTCATAAATGGTCTGGAAAAAGGGGTAAACAGTGAGTGACAAAATTTTCAGATGATACAAAACTAGTCAAGATGGACTGCAAAGAGTTACAAAAGTTACAAAAGGATCTCACAAAAGACTAGGCAACAAAATGGCAGATGAAATTCAATGTTGATAAATGCAAAGTAATACTCATTGGCAAACATAATCCCAACAACACATACATACAAAATGATAGGGTCTAAATTAGCTGTTACCCACTGAAGAAAGAAATCTTTGAGTCATTGTGGATAGTTCTCTGAAAACATCCAGTCAATGTGCAGTGGCAGTCAAAAAAGCAAACAGAATGTTGGGAATCACTGGGAAAGGGATAGATAGACAATATCATAGTGCCACTATATAAATCCATCATATGCCCGTATTTTGAATACTGTGTGCAGATGTGCTCGTCATATTTCAAAAAAGATATATTGGAATTGGAAAAGGTACAGAAAAGGGCAACAAAAATGATTAGGGGTATGGAACAGCTCCTATATGAGGAGAGATTAATAAGACCGGGACTTTTCAACTAGGAAAAGAGACAACTAAGGGGGGATATGATACAGGTCTATAAAATTATGACTGGTGTGGAGAAAGTAAATAAGGAAGTGTTATTTACTCCTTCTCATAATACGAGAACTAGGGGCCACCCAATTAAATTAATAGGCAGCTGGTTTAAAACAAACAAAAGGAAGTATTTCTTCTCACAATGCACAGTCAACCTCTCAAACTCTTTGCGATGTTGTGAAGGCCGAGACTATAGCAGGGCTCAAAAAAGAACTAGATAAGTTCCTGGAAGATAGGTCCATCATTGGCTATTAGCCAGGATGCACAGGGATGCAAAACCATGCTCTGAAGTGTCCCTAGCCTCTGTTTACCGGAAACTGGGAATGAGCGACAGGGGACAGATCACCTGATTGCCTGTTCTGTTCATTCCCTCTGAAGCACCTAGCATTGGCCACAGTCAGAAAACAGGATACTGGGCTAGATGGACTATTGGTCTGACCCAGTATGGCCATCTTTAAAAAAGGGAAGAAGGAGGATCCTGGGAACTACAGGCCAGTCAGCCTCACCTCAGTCCCTGGAAAAATCATGGAGCAGGTCCTCAAGGAATCAATTCTGAAGCACTTAGAGGAGAGGAAAGTGATCAGGAACAGTCAGCATGGATTCACCAACGGCAAGTCGTGCCTGACTAATCTAATTGCCTTCTGTGACGAGATAACTGGTTCTGTGGATGAAGGGAAAGCAGTGGACGTGTTGTTCCTTGACTTTAGCAAAGCTTTTGACACTGTCTCCCACAGTATTCTTGCCAGCAAATTAAAGAAGTATGCCCATACATTCATGGACTATAAGGTGGATAGAAAGCTGGCTAGATTGTCGGGCTCAATGGGTAGTGATCAATGGCTCCATGTCTAGCTGGCAGCCGGTATCAAGTGGAGTGTCCCAAGGGTCGGTCCTGGGGCTGGTTTTGTTCAATATCTTCATAAATGATCTGGAGGATGGTGTGGATTGCACCCTCAGCAAGTCTGCAGATGACACTAAACTGGGAGGAGAGGTAGATATGCTGGAGGGTAGGGATAGGATACAGAGGGACCTAGAGAAATTGGAGGATTGGGCCAAAAGAAATCTGATGAGGTTCAACAAGGACAAGTGCAGAGTCCTGCACTTAGGACAGAAGAATCCCATGCACCGCGACAGACTAGGGACCGAATGGCTCGGCACCAGTTCTGCAGAAAAGGACCTAGGGGTTACAGTGGACGAGAAGCTGGATATGTGTGCCCTTGTTGCCAAGAAGGCCAATGGCATTTTGGGATGTATAAGTAGGGGCATTGCCAGCAGATTGAGGGACGTGATTGTTCCCCTCTATTCGACATTGGTGAGGCCTCACCTGGAGTACTGTGTCCAGTTTTGGGCCCCACACTATAAGAAGGATGTGGAAAAATTGGAAAGAGTCCAGCGGAGGGCAACAAAAATGATTAGGGGACTGGAACACATGAGTTATGAGGAGAGGCTGAGGGAACTGGGGATGTTTAGTCTACGGAAGAGAAGAATGAGGGGGGATTTGATAGCTGCTTTCAACTACCTGAAAGGGGGTTCCAAAGAGGATGGCTCTAGACTGTTCTCAGTGGTAGCAAATGACAGAACAAGGCATAATGGTCTCAAATTGCAGTGGGGGAGATTTAGGTTGGATATTCGGAAAAACTTTTTCACTAGGAGGGTGGTGAAACACTGGAATGCGTTACCTAGGGAGGTGGTGGAATCTCCTTCCTTAGAAGTTTTTAAGGTCAGGCTTGACAAAGCCCTGGCAGGGATGATTTAACTGGGGATCGGTCCTGCTTTGAGCAGGGGGTTGGACTAGATGACCTCCTGAGGTCCCTTCCAACCCTGATATTCTATGATTCTGTGATGTGAATCCTGTCCAATGCTGCCATGAAATTCTTAGTGGAGATGATATGCACCAAAGTGATACCCGTTGAAGTGCTATATGGTCACTGATTTGTAACAGCTTCTTTACTGTGGAACAGATGGGAGTAAAACCATGTTGGTTAAATTGTATCATTCATACACTGCACAGTCATTGTGCAGTAATGTAAGTAATGCAGAAAAATAAAAACTATTATACTGCCATAGAATGGTCTCAGTGAGAATGCAGGGATTCTATACATGGCTCGTAATTGTACATAACTGTGTAGGTTCAGTTCATCAGCTAGTACTATCAACTTGTACCTCGGGTTTTTTTTTTAAATCTTTTTCCTTGACAATTATCTTGCTCCTCATGCAGATGGAATGTTTTGATGGACTATTGTTACACCACTCCATCTGGTAATCCCAATGATGAGCTTCGATACGATCTCTTCTTTAGGTAGGTACTTTGCAAATCCAGCATTTGTATGTAAATGCCCTCCTTTTAAGACCGCAATTATGAGCCTCTGTATGATAGTGTGATGCTACATTTCTTGACAGGCATGAGGTTTTTCAGGAAGGTCCAATGTCTATGCTCGTAAATAATTTATTAGTCATTAATCTAGCTATTTGTGGACATAAATATTGGGTAAGTGTGCACAGGCATGAAAATTGTGTGCACCAATGTAGGTATAGAAATAGGCATTTTGCATGCACATACTAGGGGCCCTCTACTCAAATTTCAATGGGTCTGTATTTGTTAACATTTATTTTAATGCAAGCGAGAGGATGCCCTGTGGGTAGATGATAACCATCTAACATGTCTAAGGTGCTAATTCAGGAAAGTGCTGAAGCACAAGTTTAGGTGCTGTCCTGAGTGGGAATGGCTTCCTGAATCGGGACCTTAAAGGATAGCAAAGAGCAGCTTGGTGTCTCAGCAACCCCACAGATTGAATCATATCAGTGGCTCTTGATGGAGCTGCTACCTTTGTTCAGAGGTGCTTATCTATATAAATGAGCTTACCTGATAACTTTTTGTTTCAGGTCTCATAATTATTTGGAGATTTGAATTTAAATGGAACCTGGAGCTGAGTTTCCTTGGATTTGGTTTTGATGTGGCAAAATACACAATTCAGTACCACTTTAAAGAAGTGTGTGTGTGTGTGTGTGAGAGAGAGAGAGAGAAAGAAAGAGAGAGAGAGAGAGAGATACAAATACCCTTTGTGGGCTTCTTCAATTGTGGCTCTCCTTCCTGCTATAGCCCTCCTTTCAGCAGCCACCACCAGTTGCCTTCTTTCTTGTCCTAGGACTCTTCTTTTCATCCCCCACCAGCAGGCCCATCTCCTAGTCACCTGATCCTAGTCAGGTTACTGGACTTATTACCTCCACATAGGGAGGCAGGCCACATCTGGCACAGGTTCAGCTGAGCTCTGAACCCCCTTAAAGGGTCAGGTCCGTTTGTGACAGGGTGCCCTTATACATACAATGTCAAGCAGACTTGATTTCCAATTGTCAGTATTGTTGGGTCCCTATCTGCATTCGCTAAGAATGCAAAACCAATGGGACAAAATTGTGCTCTGGCATAACTCTCACTAATGTCAACGGGTGTAAACACTGCTAGTTATCTCACATCCTGTGTGTTCCAGTCTAAGACAAGTGTATCACCTAAAGAAAATATTGGAAATGTGGCATTCTTGAACACAGATCCTTTTTAGTGTTTGTAAGAGTAATTCTGACTCTGTGCCTTTTGTCCATTGTCATTCTCTGCCTGCCTGTGCATCTGAGCAGTGCTCACTGCCATGCCATCTCAGACCTTGATGTACTATAGCACACTTGAGACTCTCGTAGCTGCCCATTTTGGACATCATGACACTCTCTTGTTTTGCACAGAGCTTAAGCATTGATCTTTTTACTTATAGTCCTTTATTCTCAGGGGCTAAAAATCAGAGGTACACATGGTCATCCCAGTTTTAATCTTTTATACCAATTAGCTGCGACAAGGACCCACAGACAACTGTAATTGAGAATGGCAAGAGTCAGATGGGCCGGTTTTCCTTTGAGGTGTTCCGCTTTGTGAAGCACAAGAACCAGAAGATGTCTACAGTCTTCCTCCATTGTGTGACAAAGCTGTGCAGAACGGATGATTGCCCCTTTCTTGCACCTGTAAGTTTTGGGGGGAGCTCTGTCAATAATCTTTATGAATCTGTGCTGTGCCAGAGGCAGAACTGTGGGGCCATTCTACACCTGTAATTTACAGATGGATAGGAGAGGTGGAGGGCATCTGTGCAAATGAAGAAAGCACCTAGAGGTTGAACTTGTTGTTTGTTTCTAGAGAATGTGAACGCAACAAATGAAGAGTGGCATTTCAATGTCATCACCATTGTGTGACGTAACACTGGGAACTGTAAAGCTGAGGGGAATTGGGTTTGGCATAAGGAGTGTTCACCTTTAAGTCTCTGGGTCAAATCATGCCTCGGATGATAGAGACCAAAGGTGACCACTGTCAGAAAGCCATTCAGATAGTTTATGAAAAATGAGCTGGTGGTCTTAGGATAGCTCCTAGAAAGCTCAAGGATAGAGAATGAGTTTGAGCCTTAGACTGACCTACCCACTCATTTCTAGATGTGATCCCCACAAGACAAAGTTGAAGAATATTCATAGGGTGTTCAGGGGAAAGTTGCACTATCACTTCCCCCTCCTGTGCCTATTTAGTGGGTAGTGTATATGAGTCTTTAATACCCTTTGCCTAGCAGCAGAGCTGGTCAAAAATATTCTGATGGAACATTCTTCCATCAGAAAATGCCATTTTGTTGAAACTCAAACTTCCTGTGGGAACATGTCTATTTTGATGAAATTTTATTTCAGGAAATTAATTACTGAAAAGTTTATTATACAGTAATATGGATATTGTACATAAGCTCAATGCAGTTCCGTAAATGAAATGAGGCAAAATACAACTAAAAGCCAATCATTTACAACATGCACTCTTAGGAGGTATTGCATCTCTTTTTATTGTAAAGTAATTGAATACATACAAGAAATAAAGTTGTAGTATCACTTTTTAAAAGAGCTGGCATTAAATATGGAAGCACAGGAAGGCAATAATTCTACTCCACTCTGAAACTGTGATTTTGATTAACTTCTCAGATTTGCAGTAACAGAGAAAGAAGAGATGCTGTTAAGAGAACAACTTGGAGCCCTCAGAGCACCTCTGGAAATGCTGTAATCTCTGCTGGCCCCATCATTACAAGGAGCGGTAGGAATTCTCAAACATTTCTGTATATTGCAGGAATTTAAAAAACAATGCTTTGCTGTTTGAGAGTTTGCAGTGACTCAGCTAAAAAACCCAGCTAACTTATTTGGGTCTATTCCTACGGCTAAACTTTCATGTAAAAGTTCTGAGCCAATTGTTTTGGTCATATATGCATTCAAAACACCCAATGAAGTCATTGTGGGTTATGTGCATGTGTCTGAGGCTCCCATAAACACCTAAACTCAATAGGCTAAATTCCATTGCCCATACAGATGCAGCTTCCACTGAAGATAACGGAAGGTGCACCCATCTAACGCAGAAAAAAATTAGCCTGATTCATTTTGCTTAAAATCAGAGCTCAAGATGGGAAAGCCACAAAATGGAAAAAATTGTTTAGAAGCTAATGAATACCCACTTTAACATTGACTACTCCTTCTCTTGCCTGGCTCTTCCACTTCCATCTTAGGGTATATCTACACTGCCAAAAATGGTGTGTTCTTAACTAGGGTTAGCTCACTTGATTTAAATTAGCAGTGAAGACACAGCAACTTAGCTCTTAACTCACTTTAAAAGTTTGAATTAAAGCCTATAGGGCTGCTAACCTAAGTTAAAACACAAATGGCTGTGCATTCACTGCTATTTTAACCCAATTTAGCCCTGGTCTACACTAGGACTTTAGGTCGAATTTAGCAGCGTTAAATCAATGTAAACCTGCACCCGTCCGCACGATGAAGCCCTTTATTTCGACTTAAAGGGCTCTTAAAATTGATTTCCGTACTCCGCCCCGACAAGTGGATTAGCGCTTAAATCGGCCTTGCCGGGTCAAATTTGGGGTACTGTGGACACAATTCGACGGTATTGGCCTCCGGGAGCTATCCCAGAGTGCTCCATTGTGACCGCTCTGGACAGCACTCTCAACTCAGATGCACTGGCCAGGTAGACAGGAAAAGAACCGCGAACTTTTGAATCTCATTTCCTGTTTGGCCAGCGTGGCAAGCTGCAGGTGACCATGCAGAGCTCATCAGCAGAGGTGACCATGATGGAGTCCCAGAATCGCAAAAGAGCTCCAGCATGGACTGAATGGGAGGTACGGGATCTGATCGCTGTATGGGGAGAGCAATCCGTGCTATCAGAACTCCGTTCCAGTTTTCGAAATGCCAAAACCTTTGTCAAAATCTCCCAGGGCATGAAGGACAGAGGCCATAACAAGGATCCGAAGCAGTGCCGCATGAAACTTAAGGAGCTGAGGCAAGCCTACCAGAAAACCAGAGGGGCGAACGGCCGCTCCAGGTCAGAGCCCCAAACATGCCGCTTCTATGATGAACTGCATGCTATTTTAGGGGGTTCAGCCACCACTACCCCAGCCGTGTTGTTTGACTCCTTCAATGGAGATGGAGGCAACACGGAAACAGGTTTTGGGGACGAAGAAGATGATGATGATGAGGTTGTAGATAGCTCACAGCAAGCAAGTGGAGAAACCGGTTTTCCCGACAGCTAGGAACTGTTTCTCACCCTGGACCTGGAGCCAGTACCCCCCAAACCCACCCAAGGCTGCCTCCTGGACCCGGCAGGCGGAGAAGGGACCTCCGGTGAGTGTACCTTTTAAAATACTATACATGGTTTAAAAGCTAGCATGTGAAAGGATTAATTTGCCGTGGCATTCGTGGCTCTCCTGGATGTACTCCCAAAGCCTTTGCAAAAGTTTTCTGGGGAGGGCAGCCTTATTGCGTCCTTCATGGTAGGACACTTTACCACTCCAGGCCAGTAACACGTACTCGGGAATCATTGTACAACAAAGCATTGCAGTGTATATTTGCTGACGTTCAAACAACATCCATTCTTTATCTCTCTGTGTTATCCTCAGGAGAGTGAGACATCATTCATGGTCACCTGGTTGAAATAGGGTGCTTTTCTTCAGGGGACACTCAGAGGAGCCCGTTCCTGCTGGGCTGTTTGCCTGCGGCTGAACAGAAATGTTCCCCGCTGTTAGCCACGGGGAGGAGAGAGGGTTGAGGGGGTAGACACGCGGTGGGGGGAGGGCAAAATGCGACCTTGTTACGAAAGCACATGTGCTATGCATGTAATGTTAACAGCAAGGTTTACCCTGAAAGAGTGTAGCCACTGTTTTATAAAATGTGTCTTTTTAAATACCGCTGTCCCTTTTTTTTTCTCCACCAGCTGCATGTGTTTCAATGATATCAGGATCTTCTCCTTCCCAGAGGCTAGTGAAGATTAGAAAGAAAAAAAAAACGCACTCGAGATGAAATGTTCTCTGAGCTCATGCTGTCCTCCCATACTGACAGAGCACAGACGAATGCATGGAGGCAAATAATGTCAGAGTGCAGGAAAGCACAAAATGACCGGGAGGAGAGGTGATGGGCTGAAGAGAGTAAGTGGCAGGCTGAAGACAGGGCTGAAGCTCAAATGTGGCAGCAGCGTGATGAGAGGAGGCAGGATTCAATGCCGAGGCTGCTGGAGGATCAAACCGGTATGCTCCAGTGTATGGCTGAGCTGCAGCAAAGGCAGCTGGAGCACAGACTGCCACTACAGCCCCTGTGTAACCAACCGCCCTCCTCCCCAAGTTCCATAGCCTCCACACCCAGACGCCCCAGAACGCGGTGGGGGGGCCACCGGCCAACCAGCCACTCCACCACAGAGGATTGCCCCCAAAAAAAGAAGGCTGGCATTCAATAAATTTTAAAGTTGTAAACTTTTAAAGTGCTGTGCTTAAAGTGCTGTGTTGCATTTTCCTTCCCTCCTCCACCACCCCTCCTGGGCTACCTTGGTAGTCATCCCCCTATTTGTGTGATGAATGAATAAAGAATGCATGAATGTGAAGCAACAATGACTTTATTGCCTCTGGAAGCGGTGATCGAAGGAAGGCGGGGAGGGTGGTTAGCTTACAGGGAAGTAGAGTGAACCAAGGGGCGGGGGGTTTCATCAAGGAGAAACAAAGAGAACTTTCACACCGTAGCCTGGGCAGTCATGAAACTGGTTTTCAAAGCTTCTCTGATGCGTACCGCGCCCTCCTGTGCTCTTCTATCCGCCCTGGTGTCTGGCTGCGTGTAACCAGCAGCCAGGCGATTTGCCTCAACCTCCCACCCCGCCATAAATGTCTCCCCTTTACTCTCACAGATATTGTGGAGCACACAGCAAGCAGTAATAACAGTGGGAATATTGGTTTCGCTGAGGTCTAAGCGAGTCAGTAAACTGCGCCAGCGCGCCTTTAAACGTCCAAATGCACATTCTACCATCATTCTGCACTTGCTCAGCCTGTAGTTGAACAGCTCCTGACTACTGTCCAGGCTGCCTGTGTACGGCTTCATGAGCCATGGCATTAAGGGGTAGGCTGGGTCCCCAAGGATAACTATAGGCATTTCAACATCCCCGACAGTTATTTTCTGGTCTGGGAATAAAGTCCCTTCCTGCAGCTTTTGAAACAGACCAGAGTTCCTGAAGATGCGAGCGTCATGCACCTTTCCTGGCCATCCCACGTTGATGTTGGTGAAACGTCCCTTGTGATCCACCAGAGCTTGCAGCACTATTGAAAAGTACCCCTTGCGGTTTATGTACTTGGCGGCTTGGTGCTCCGGTGCCAAGATAGGGATATGGGTTCCGTCTATGGCCCCACCACAGATAGGGAATCCCATTGCAGCAAAGCCATCCACTATGACCTGCACATTTTCCAGGGTCACTACCCTTGATATCAGCAGATCTTTGATTGCATGGGCTACTTGCATCACAGCAGCCCCCACAGTAGATTTGCCCACTCCAAATTGATTCCCAACTAACCGGTAGCTGTCTGGCGTTGCAAGCTTCCACACGGCTGTCGCCACTCGCTTCTCAACTGTGAGGGCTGCTCTCATCTTGGTATTCATGTGCCTCAGGGCAGGGGAAAGCAAGTCCCAAAGTTCCATGAAAGTGCCCTTACGCATGCGAAAGTTTCGCAGCCACTGGGAATCGTCCCAGACCTGCAACACTATGCGGTCCCACCAATCTGTGCTTGTTTCCTGAGCCCAGAATTGGCATTCCATAGCATGAACCTGCCCCATTAGCACCATGATGCATGCATGCATTGGCAGGGTCCATGCTTTCAGAGAAATCTGTGTCCATGTTCTGATCACTCACGTGACCGCGCTGACGTCGCCTACTCGCCCGGTATGGCTTTGCCAGGTTCTGGTGCTGCATATACTGCTGGATAATGCTTGTGGTGTTTAATGTGCTCCTAATTGCCAAAGTGAGCTGAGCGGCCTCCATGCTTGCCTTGGTATGGCCTCCACTCAGAAAAAAGGCGCGGAATGATTGTCTGCCGTTGCTCTGACGGAGGGAGGGGCGACTGACGACACAGCTTACAGGGTTGGCTTCAGGGAGCTAAAATCAACAAAGAGGGTGGCTTTACATCAAGGAGTATTTCAGGCAGGACTTCACGGAGGGTTCCAATAAGAAATGGTGCACCTAAGTTATTGTTCTTATTGGAACAAGGAGGTTAGTCTGGCCTCTGATTGATACGTGGCTAGATTTACCTCGCTGCACCTTCTCTGTGAGTGACTGCAGTGTGACCTAGAGGAATGAGTCCCCTAGACGGGGGAGGGGGGAAGCAAATGAGTACAAAACAAATCTGGTCTATTTCTTGTTTTGATCCACTCCATCTATCTTTTACATCTTTGGCTGGCAGCAGACGGTGCAGAAGGACTGCAAGCCATCCATATCTCATGGCTGCCCGGCAGAAGATGATGCAATAGGACTGCTAGCAATCCGTATCGCCTGCCTGCTCACCATAAGATGGTTCAATAGGACTGACTGCAGGACTAAAGAGAATGACTTGATCAAGTCACTCCAAATTTAGTCCCTGTGCCCATGTCTGTCCAGGCGCTCCCGGCCGACGTGGCCAGGAGCACCTCTGACATGACGACGACGGCTACCAGTCCTATTGCACCGTCTGCTGCCAGAAGGCAATGGGTTGCTGCTACTGTGTAGCAATGCAGTACCGCGTCTGCCAGCACCCAGGAGACATACGGTGACAGTTAGCTGAGCGGGCTCCATGCTTGCCGTGGTATGGCGTCTGCACAGGTAACTCAGGAAAAAAGGCACGAAACGATTGTCTGCCCTTGCTTTCACGGAGGGAGGGAGGGAACGGGGGCCTGCAATATGTACCCAGAACCACCCGCGACAATGTTTTAGCCCCATCAGGCATTGGGATCTCAACCCAGAATTCCAATGGGCAGCGGAGACTGCGGGAACTGTGGGATAGCTACCCACAGTGCAACACTCCGGAAGTCGACTCTAGCCTCGGTACTATTGGAAGCACTCCGCCGAGTTAATTCACTTAATGCACTTAGAGCATTTTCTGTGGGGACACACACACTCAAATATATAAAACCGATTTCTAAAAAACCGACTTGTATAAATTTGACCTAATTTCGTAGTGTAGACATACACTTAGATAGGACGAGTAAAGAACACACCATTTTTTGCAGTGTAGATGTAACTTTAATGACATTAAGTGTGACTTGTGTTGGTAATATACTTTTTGCTCAGCTTTCAGCTGTAAATAGAGCCTGAGGCAAACAGTTCAGGTTTTCAGTTTAAAGACAGTTGCCCAGATTCTGTTCTCACTTAAACTGGTACCTATCCAGAGTGTAATTCCACTGATTTCTGTTCTCCTAGAATTTTAAAGTGTTTCAAATACATCTTCGAATTTCTGAGAAGCATTCATTTTGTGAATACCTGTGCTAACTAGTAAAGATAAAATATTTTGAGACAAATTCTGCTGTTTGATGGATGTAAGTAACTGTCATTGGGTCAGTGGTTTCAGTGGAGTCGATCTGGACTGAAACCAATGAAACTGAGAGCAGAATGTAATCCCACAGAGGGAAAAGAATTATTAGGACTTGAGGACTAATTTGTCTCTGTTTGCTGTGTAGTGGTGGATGCATGGATATGCAAGAGGAGAAATTTGCCCATAGAGAATTGGGAATGTATTCAGTTTTTTGTAGGTGCTTGGTTAGAAATTTTTTTTTTTTTTAAGTAGAATTGGATGAATAATGCCAAAAAATTCTGCACATATTTGAAGTAGATAAGGCATTTACTTCGGCCATTCTCATGGCCCTTTTGAGTTCACTTTTCATGAATGTTCAGTTTGTTTAAAAATATCTGGGGAAAACTAATTTCAGAGTTGCAAACATGACGAAACTGAATTTTCAGATTTGCACTTATTTTGCACCACACATGATCATTCAATCAGGGAACAGAAACAAGACCACAGGATTTATTTGAGCAGTCATAAGCAATACAGCTCAAATTTCAAATATTTGGGATCAATCTACATAGGTTTACAAAAATAGAAAAATATTAATCAATTGCCTTTGGATATTGAATACATTCAAGTAAACCACAGAATGTTCATGGATATTCCATGAGCAGAAGAGGTGGCTAAATTCTTTAAATACATGATTGTTGAAAATTCTTTGCTTAGCTCTAGTTTAGCCATGAATAGATATGAAAAGGGGAAATAATCATTTTGCAATTGTCATCTATTTCAGAAATGGAATTCAAATATTTTATGGAATATATAGAGGACCATTTTACTTTTATTTCTGGCTTTTAGGTTGCACAGGTAGGAAAGATAGTTGGGTATATGAAGCACTGGACTATGACTCAGGAGGCCTGTGTTCAGTTCCTGACTGCCACAAGTTTCCAGTGTGACTTTGGGCAACTCATTTAATCTACCTTGTGCCTCAGTTTCCCTTTTGTGAAATGTGCAGAAGGGTACTTCCCTACCTTGAGGCTAAAATCTATTAATGATTGTAGAGCTGTCAGGTATTATGGTTATGAGGAGCCATATAGAAACCTAGATAGTTACATAGGATTGCTGCTGCTTGTGACTGTCTGTCTCATGTATGTTTAAGCTATTTTAACATTGTGCTCTTTCACAGAGACCTTGCACTTGTTTGTTTATCTATAATAAATCATTTTAGACAAAATACGTGGCTTTTTCTCTGTGTACAGAAACAAAATAGTTATCTACTTCTGAAGGCAAAAGTGTTTAAAAAAAAAAGAATGAAAGCCATTGTATATCCTAGTTAAAAATAAATACAAGTCAGGACCTTGAAATAAATGTACTTTTGAGCTGTGATTGAGGCTTACAAACAGAAAAGCAAAACCAAACAAAGATAAGATATTTAGTTTCAGGACCGACAATGAGGAGTAAGTGAAAATTAGGGGAAAAACATAAACTTATCCCTAAAAACATAAACTCATCCCTCTGTGCTCCTGTCAAGAAAAAAGTGTGTGTGGAGGAGAAGTTTTCTAATGCTTTCTAGTCACAGATTTCCTTAATGAAATGAAGATAAAGTATCCCCACCATCGCAGAGCTCCTTCTCCCCTAGTACAGCACATGGTGAGAAGAAGTAGTTCCTGCCACATTGTTTTGGATCATATTTTTTATGCAATGGGACAGAAGACAATTAGCAACACGTTCAGATAACTGGACCTTGATAAAGATTTTTTTTTTTGGCAGAGTAATAAGTGGTGCATTAGACCAATATCCTCGCAGTAAAAATTAGGAAGCTTCTTATAGTTAATGTTCCTAGCCTGACTTGATCAGAGACATTGATTGTGACAAGCCACCATTGCCAACACAGTTGTTGAGTTTTAGGATAGTCCTAGCTTTATGTTTGTCTGGTTTTAGTGGGAGTGAAGAGAGGATGCAAATATTGATATCTGTAAAATATAATAGCTCCATTTTTATATTTTTATACAGATGAGACACCAACCAACAATTCACAGCTAGGTAAGTTAATCAGAATAAGAGAAACACAAAAGAGGGGTGTTACAGGAGTGCTACACTAATGAGTGGGTAAACCATTTGGATTCAGCTATGTGTTGAAGTTTTCCTTATTACCATTAATTTAAAAGGAGAAAATATGAATGTGTTCTAAAGAAAGCAATTGATAAATCTGGAATGCTCCGTTAAGTTCATGTGCCCAACAGTTTAACAAATTCCAATCTCTACTATGGAACTAAAATTACAGATCAAATGCAACCCTATTTATGCTGCTATGGCACATTAGGAAACAGTGCAACTGCCAGAAGCCAAATGGCAGGTTTAAGCAATAAAGTCATTTTCCTACTACAGATGAATTGAACCACAAAATGGTCATTATGGTGCAGTCTAGCCTGGCAGGCTTCACAGCTCAAAAAGGTAAAAATCCTGTTTCAGCTCCTGTAGTCCCTGACCTTTGTCCTGGATGTAACCATAGGAACCACACAAATGGTCTGTGGTAAGGCAGATGGGAATGAGTGACAGGAGATGGATCACTTGAGGATTACCTGTTCTGTTCATTCCCTCTGGGACACCTGGCATTGGCCGCTGTCAGAAGACAGGATACTGGGCTAGATGGACCTTTGGACTGACCCAGTATGGCCATTCTTATGTTACAGAGCCCAATGCTTCTGCTCTGGTGGTTGAGGAAGTAGGCTGTATGGAAAAAATATGGGCTAGTATATGGGGGAGGAGGTCTGCAGATTGTCAGAGTGCTCCTCCTCCTGGTCACCTGGAATTCTTTTGGGTGGAGAAATACATCTGTAGTGCATTCCTGGTTTCTCGGTTACTGTTGTCTGGCTGATCACTCTGTCAATATTTACTAGGGACCCATGTAACAAAATTCAGCTGCTATCCCTCCTGAAGTCTAAGGCAACTGGGAAAGAACCCCCCCTAGTTCTCCCTTCCTCCAACCTCCCCTAGTTCCCCCCTTCCTCTCCCTTCCTCCAACATTTGAATGGTGGGGACTCCAGAACCATGTTAAAGTCCCTCCTCCATAATAAAATCACGTAAAACAGAAACCTGGCATTAAATAGAAAGATTTAGGGTTCCTGTCAGCTGACATCCTGCACACCTGAGTATGGAGTTCAGATCATCTTATGCGTTAAATATTGTCCTCTTGTCTTACACCCACACCCATCATGGTGAATGTGCATGTGAAAGAGCTATGCACCTGCAGCCACTCCCTAAATACACTAGATAGACTTAATGTGCAGTTCAGTATCAGCCTGTTAACTATAATTTTTGTATATAAAGGCATTGTGGCAGGAAGACCCAGCTCTGCAGAGAGAGATTCTGATGAGACCTTTCTGTGCCTTTTTTTTCCCTTGCAGCTCATCCAAATGGACCTCCTTTCCAGCTGAACTCAGTCACCAGTGCACTGATTTCAGGAATAGTCATTCTAGGGATTATGAGCATTTTCTTTTTTGTATGTTCCCTCACCCTCCTGCACAGGAAATGGCCCAGCAGCTCAGTTTTGGGTGGCATACGAAACCCAGTTTTCAACTAAAAGGAACAATTAATTTGCACTTGTTCTGGGGGTGGGGGATTGCCTTCGTTGTCCATGAAATATACTTATGTTATAAATTTACCAAGGCAACATTCTGCCAGTATCAAACTTCAGCTAGTCTTATTTGTAGTGTTGTAAACTTTATTGTATAGCTAAACAGTCATAGTGATGGCAAGAATCCTACGTAATTCTTCTCATTTGTGTTTGTGATCAGACTATTGAACATTTTGCCTGTGGGTGTACTGACAATAAAATTGGTGTCCTACTGTCCTACTGTCAACCAGGGTCTTAAAATTTAAAGATGCTTAAGATAAAACACCTTTAAATACACCATTATTAAACCAGACCTGGCCAACCTGCCACATTCACATTTAACCACCACCTTTGATAAAGACTGCCTCTACTTTTACCTTTTTTGTGTATTTTCCTACTTTATTGTGGGACCTTATCAAGCAAATTATTGTAGCTCAGAACCTACATTTTTATTTTCTATCTGGATTAAAAATAACTGCAGAAAGAATCAAAATAAGTGGACGGTGATTATCATTCATTTGGAAATGGGGTCATATGACAGAGTAGGCAGAAGTCTGCTCTATCTTCTAATTCCATTGAATTCAGTGGGATTGCACACAGTGTAAGGAGAGTCAAAATTTGGCATGGTATCTGTCTGTCAAATTGTTTAGTGCTGAAAATTCAAAGCCGTTTCCTGGGTACAATCCTGTCGTTCACTCGGACAAAAATCTCTCACAGGGAAGTCTTTGACAACTTTAACAGGAGCTTGCCTGCATCATCAGTTCAATTTTTGCTAAGCCTTACTTAAATGCAGTCAGCACTGCTATTGCCTTGAGTTAAACTCTGCTGTCATGGACATCCTAGGGTGGAAAGAGTTTATTCCTTTATTTCTAAAACAAAACAACCCTCCCACCCCCGAACAACAACAAAAAACCCCAACACTTTTCAAGCCAAAAGGATGTTTTAGGGCCAAACTCTGCAGTTTGAGCAAAAACTCCCCTGAAGTAATTTGAAAGGACCAATTCTGTCATATCAGTTGCACAGTTCAAAAAATAAGGTGGTCTTTCCACCCAGAGCTTTCCACAAAGTGATGCTTCCCTTTGGCTGTTTTCCCCATGAGCTAGACTTCCTCCCTGTTTGGGGAAAATCCTTGCAAGAACAGGCCACGTGCCTTACCAAACTCTCAGCTCCAGCTAATCTGATAAACCTCAGATCATCTGAATTAAGTGTGAATTATCATGTGTCCCTTTCAATAGGTGTCTATGAATAGGAATTTAGGTACATCTATCCAGGAATCTGGAAATGGATATTGGTACTGATGACAAGCGTGGCAGTGGTAGATACAGTAGATATATTAATTTGATTGCTAAACAGTTAGTTAGGATTTGGGTCTAGTCTCAGTAAGTAAACTCTTAACTTCATTTACCATGTACTGTACATATTGGCTCAGCAGCACCTCATTGTTATTTATCACTTTTTCCCGTATTAATCATGTGTGTGCTTTCTGTGATGCGACAGAAGTGGTTAATGTTCAGGGGTCTCTGAATCTCAAGACTAAATGCAAATACAGACATGTCATATATCACTCTTCTTTGATCTAGACAATGCTGTATAAAGGCCTGTTCAGAAATTATCCAGCCTGTTGTAGTGTAGGGTCTTTAACAATAACACTGTGCATGTTTTCCTCCAGTCTTAATACCTCAGAAACAATTTTTTGCACTTCAGGGGTTAGGTCTGATGACATGTAAAACATGATTGTTTAATAGAATAAACTGAAAAATATCAGAAGAAATATTTGTCTGAATGTCTTTCTTAGAGGCAACATGTAGGAGGGGACATAGTGGGGGTCAAATGTTCCCACAGATTGGCCTGCTGGGAGTGGGAGAGAGAGGGGCTCTATCCTTTCCCTGCTCCTCCCCCATGGCATGCTCTGCTTCTGTCCCTGGCAGCCGAGCCTGGGCAGGGAGAGGGCCACCGCTGCCTCCCCGCCAGGCTCTCTCAGGCAGAAGCGGCTTCGTCTCATTCCCTGCCCGGCTGCCAGGGAGAGCGGCCGAACATGCAGGGAGGAGGCACAGGGAGAGAAGACTGGAACCCCTGCTGCAGTTAACGTGGGTGGGGAGAGCGCGGTGGCCCGGGATGGGCACAGGGCAGTGAGGTCACTGGGCACAGGAGGCACGTGAGCGATCACATGTCCTCCCCTTTAGACTGTTCCCCTCCAATATGGGGAGGCACCAGTCAGCTATGGTTATTGTCTTGATTCTGTTTCAAATTAAAATACTTAATCCTACAGAGGTGAAAATTGGGATCACATGTTTAATCTAAGTAAATTTCTTATATTGTGACTAGAGCTGGGTGAAATTTTATTTTATTTTATTTTATTTTATTTTTTTTTTTTGGCTGAATAGTTTATTTGCCTAAAAATGGGAACTGTTCATGAATTCTCATCAATTCAGCTAATAATTTCTGCGAAAAAGTGTGTGTGTGTGTGTGGGGGGGAATGCAAAAAAAAAGTCAAAATGTTCATTTTGGTATGTTAAAAATTAAATATTTTGACTTTTTGTTTTGAAATTTAGCTAGATTTCATTAAAGAAAAGTGGTTAAAAAACTATCTCAGAATGAAACATTTAGTTTTGGGCAGAATTAAATGTTTTGTTCAACCCCAAAATTTTTTTGTGTAGGTGGTTTTTGTTTTCGTAAGAAAAACAGAAACATTGTTTCAGGGCAACCTGAAATGATTTTTTTCAGATACTTTGGTTTGGCCACTAAATCAAAAAACCATTTTACTGGCTGAGCTCTAACTATGACTTAATCTAAACAAACATCAGATAATCATAGTGAATCTAAGGGGAGTAGGGAGAAACTGGAGATTTGCAGGAAATGAGTGAGATTCAGATTTCAAGGCTTATCATGATTCATAGATTTATTTTTTTAAGGCCAGAAGAAACCACTGTGATGGTTTAATCAGACTTCCTGTATAATGTAGGCCATAGGACTTCCATGAATTAATTCCTGTCTCAAATCTAATAGCTGGGGTTGAAGAAGAACATCTCATCTAGAAAAGATCCAGTCTCCATTTAAAAATTTGCAGAGATGGAGAATCCACCATATCCAATGGTAAATTGTTCCAATGGTTAATTACCCTCACTGTGGAAAAAATTGTACCTTTTTTCTAGTCTGAATTTGTCTTGTTTCAATTTTCAGCCACTGGATCATGTTACACCTTTGTCTGGTAGACTGAAGAGCTTTCTATTATCAGATTTCTTTTCCCCATGTAGGTTTTTATAGACTGTGAGCAAGTCACCCTTTAATCTTTTCTCTTTGATAAACTAAACAGATTGAGCTTCTTGAGTCTTTCACCATAAGGCATGTTTCCAGTCCATTAAGCATTCTCTTATGATTCAGGTAACACCACTGAAAAACAGTAGTCATTGTTATTGGAGGTGCGGGGGGGAGAGGGGGGGAAAGAGATTCTAAGCATAACCCGTGATCAGTTCAATAAGTTTGTTATATCTTTGAGTCCATCTCAGCTCTTGGAAGGGACAGTACCGTAAGGGAATTGTTGTAAATAGACATAAATTTTTATGTCTATTTATGTTAAATAGATAAATACATAAATAGTTAACAAGGAACCACCCACTGGTCTGCTGGCAGCTTGGGTATTGTGCTGCTGCTATAGTACAACAAAGTTCCATGTAAAAAGTATTCTGCTTAGTAGATGACAAGTTAATTAAAATGTCCGATATCAGGTTTACCGCCCCCCCCACCCAAACTATTGCCCCATGTTATATGTTCTGCTATGTGAGTGAAAAATGCATTATGTTCTAATGACTGCACCATGCATGTCAGTGGGGATGTGATCAAGGTACCAGGCTGGGAGTCAAACCTGGGTTCTGTTATTGCAGGTCCTATTGATGGGCAAGGCACTTAACTGTTTTGTGCCTCAGTTTCCTGATCTGTCAAATGGGATAATCCCTACCCCATTTGTGAAGCACTTTGCGATCTACAGGTGACAAGTGATATATAACAATGGAAAACTATTATTGTCATGTATTGATCTGGCATTGGATGTTTGTTTATTTATTTATTTTGCATACCATCGCATGGGAGCACACTTGTCCACTTCTTGGGAGTGCACTTGTCCATTGGAGATAAAAATAACCAGAAGAGGTAAGTCTTATTAACACACATTTTGTTGATCGCATCCTCCTGTACTAATGCTAGATATAGCTTATGGAAGCAATGTCCTTAAAATATGTATGACCTTTATGCATGTAATGTCATGAGCACCAAGCACCAAGCAGTGGTATCAGTAACCTTAGTGGAAGTACATCAGATATGTACAGCCTGGTACACAATAACACAGATCCTGTAAAGCAAGCCTTTAAAGTTAGTTTCTCTCACTTGCCATTATTCCAAGTATTTGACATATTTTTCAAAAACAATGGGAATTAACATAGGGTCAGATAATCACTCTTGTTCTTCCTCGTACAGTAGAGTAGAATTTGGGTTCTCAGTGTGGTGGATTTTGCCTATGATAGTTCAGTTCGAGGTTGGGGCTTGCCCACATCTCTGAATAGGCCTGGGGTTTAGCCTCCAAAGAGCCACTAGAGCCATTTGTATTGAGCTTCAATAATTCCTGGCCTTTTGTAGTTTCCCCAGTCTCTGTTCTAGGAGTGGGTCAGTCTGTGGTGGGGAAGCCTAAGTGACCCATGGAGCATTAGCTTGAGCCACGATGCCTCCTATGTTTCATTGAGGGAGTGGAGGAGAGTACATGCCAGTTAGAATGGCGCTATGCTTGTCTGCCTGAAGGTAATATTAGTGACATAGAATGGAGAGAGATTACCAGGAACTGGGACGTCAGCAAAGCAGGGCCGGTAGAAATTAGAAAGCACTATAAGGTCATCTGATTGTATGACTTTTTTGGGTGTGACATCTTAGCCTCGTCACACATAATAGGGTTCTCCTGCGTTTTAAGTGAAAATAATAGACCAGAAGAATGTTTAGATGTGCTAATAAAACTGGTTGTATAAAGGATGCACATGATATTTCTGTAGACCCACAGGGTAACTCCAGCTATTAAAATACTCCTGGTCAACCTAAATGCAGCTTACAAGCTTGTGATCTTAAAAAGCTTAAGAAATCAGTGAACCAATTGATTGGTGGTTGGTAGAATAATCACAGAAGATTCTGAGGGTTGCTCTAGATCCAAAGGAACTTAATAAAGCTATAGAGAGTTGTGAGTACTTTTGGCTCCCTACTTTGGAAGAAATAAATAGCATAACCAGCTGGAGTTAATACATCCTAGCTGCTAATGTATTTCAGTTGATTTTGGCAAATAGTCCCTGGATCAAGGTATATCACAGTTCCCACTCGGTTTGGCAGACAATGTTTCTGATGGCTGCCTTTCATATCTCTAGTGTACTGGGGTAATCCACAAGCGGGTACGATAGATACTCAAATGATTAGAAGATGTTCTAGCCTATAAGATTTCCTCACTTGGAGGGCAAACAGGGTAGAGGAGCACAATATTAAACTAAGGAAAGTTCTTAGTGTTGCATGCAAATCATTCTGCAGATTCCTGCCACCCCTTATGTAAGTGACTCTTGAAATCTTTCCAAGTGCCTTTGGAGCAGAGGTGATAAATTTTGTTGGGAGAAGACAGATCTACAAATGTATGCGACTAAATTTCCCCGGTTACATACACTGGTATTCATGGGGTCATGCTCTTTATTTGTATGAGTGCTATTTGTGAAAATGTGTGTGAATCCAATACCTTCTGTGCTGACTTTGTGCTGTAAGTGGACTATTCCCCAGTCAGCAATGAAATCTTGTACACTCCAGTACGAGTTTAAAAAAAAAAAGATGCTATTTATATGATTAGGAGAAACTCTCCACAAATTGAACAGCTCATGAAACCATATTGGATGAATGTTATTCATCTGAGCCATATGGTGGATGTTTATGAATAGGGCTCAATCAGCACACAGCTACAGATTTACAGCTGCAGAGGACCTATGGATCCTAGGCACAGGTTGAAATGCTTGTGGTATACTTTAGGGCTGCCTGGTGTGATGTGTGAACTGCTTTGTGATAAATTAGGATGAAGCTTTTTTTAGCAGCCCCTGGCCTAGGGCATTTTACATAAACCACCTTCTGATTTAATGGAAAACCTACATCCACTCTTCTCCTGTCTCCCTCTGCAAACACACAACCCAACTCTGGATGCATTATTTATTTCCCCCCAATGCCCTATCATGGGGCTGAAGACAGATTGCTTCAGAGCTGGCAGAGTAGAAGAATTTGGGACAGAGGTGGTGTGGGAGAAGGTCAGCCACTGAATCCTGGACCTAATAGTCAGTATTTGTTTAAATGACTTCACAGACAGGTCCAGAGTTGAATTAACAAGACTTGTTTACAAATAGCAAATACATTAGTAGAAATCAGGAATGTTTTGCAATTGATTTGCAAACCAAAAAAAGCCTAAATCATCTGTGTTAAAAGATGTATTAGCATTGGAAAAGATGCAGGGAAGGGCAACAAAAATGATTAGGGGGTATGGAATAGCTTCCATATGAGGAGAGATTAAAAAGAGTGGGACACTTCAATTTAGAAAAGAGACAGCTAAGGGGGAAATATGATAGAGGTCTAAAAACATGACTGGTGTGGAGAAAGTGAATAAGGAAGTGTTATTTACCCCTTCATATAACACAAGAATAAGGGGTCACCCAATGAAACTAATAGGCATCAGGTTTAAAACTAACATAAGGAAGTATTTCTT